CACGAGCGCACCTGAGGGGTGTAGCCCCCGAGCCCCCGAGCGATCCTAGGGCGATCGGTCGGGGGGTCCTTCAGTCGGGAACCCTCTACCCCGGGACTTGACATATCCTTATGTTGTGATCTCGTTAGTCGGTAGTTTCAGCTTCTACCAACATCTTTAGAGTACAACAATAGTTTTATTCAAAGCCAATAAAATAAAAGAATAAAAAATTTAGAACAAAGAAAAGATAGAGAAAAACAAAAGAAAGCTAATCAACCTATTATCGCTGCAACAACACTGGCTCTCATGATCTCCAAAACAAAAAAGGACAATGCCACCACTTACAACAGGAAGAAAAACTATAACCACAACCTCCCAGCATGGGCTAGGCATCTGGAGCCAATTTCAGCATAGCCAAAGTGAGTGTCATGGGTCAGATTCTGCGGTAGTGATTAGTGATCTGGATGTGGGTCAATGCATGTGAGGTCTATGGCTTAAGCATTCAAGTCACAAGGAGTTTATCCTGGTTCTTGTGTCTAAGCCTTACGTCCAGCAGTGGTGTTCTTCATATTAGAATGCTCAATTGAGTTCTTACAATAGAGAGACAGACAGGAGTAGGCCGAGGAGCGGTATGCTAATCATCTAGGGTTTGATCACTCAGTTGCTCGGTGTATCGATCCCCTCTATAGGAGCCCATGCCCCGCCTTATATAACGGCGGGCAGTGGGAGTATAAGAATCATAGTTCTAGGGGTTTTCTAGGGTTCTATATCCTAGAGTTGCAGACACGACCTCGTGAGGGTGAGGGAATAGTGCCCCAGCAAGGCCTGGCGCTCTGCTACTCTGCCTGCATGTCAGGTTCTAGGCGCCTGATAGATTCTAGGGCGATATTCCTCGCATCGGTAGGTGCAGGAAGCTCAGCCAAGCTATGTGGAGGCGCTCGGAGCCACCCTTGGTCAGTCGGCACCTTCCAACATCGGGAACCATGAGGGCGATGCTAGGCCTCTGGGCGCAGGTGACATGGGCATGGATCTGCCCTCCTGGCCTATCTCCTGGGCTCTTACGCCTTTCTATGGGCCGCCTAAGGTCCATCAGGCTTCCCATAAATGGAACGGAGTCTGCACGCGAGCACACACGACAGGTGTAGCCACGAGCCCTTGGATGATTAGGAGAATCGGTCGGGGGTTAATCGCATTGTCATCGCATTAATCCTAGTGTTTATGTAACCCCTTGTTTTATACTCAACAGTGAACTATTCGATGGAGTCCTTACATAAATAAGCACCTTGGTCAGAGTTTTTGGCAGCTTGTTGGAAGGTCTTCAAGTGACTTCATTCCATATTTTGATCGTAAATAGATTGTCTTGCCATCAAACTGTCTCTCATGGAATTAACCTATCTTTGTTGTACATGTTCCCTGCTCATCTACCCTTTTGATTCATGTTTTGGATGAAGATTGAATATTACCACTTGTGTTTGTATAGAAACAATTCCTGTGCCGGTGAGCTAAATTATCTGGCTCAGTCATGCACAACTTGCAAGACTATGTTGTTCTGCAATTTTTTCTACCGTAGATTGTTATTAGTTTTCTTGTTTAGAAGTTCACTGGGGCAGAGGGGTCCCCACCTGAATGTATGTATTGGTTGCTCAGTGCCCTAAGACAATAATGTTTATGGAATTACATCATTTTGAAGTTATGGGGCTCAGAACTGCTAATTACATTGCACTTCTAAATACACCAGACAAAATCTCAACTAGATCACTGTCCTTAGGTAAGCGTAGCTTCCATAGTTTCACATCGGCCAGGTATGCTGCTAGTACCTGTTGTTGGATTGCTCTCTCTGACCTGAAAATGACCCTGTTTATGCTCTTCCAAAGTTATCAACAACGTATAGCGATGAAGGTGCCGAAATGCTTTTGGGGATATTAGCATGGCGTTGTATGTTGTGCAACTCACAAGTCACTCTGGCGCTGTGTAGTGGCAGATGAAATCCGTTTTCCCCCATAATTCCTTTGCAAACGGGCATCCCATGATGATTGCTATTAGTCAAATTCTTTTTCTTATTATCCACATCTTAGTGGAGCCCACGCCAATACCAGCACAATTCTATTCATTTATCTCTACAAGATTGCAATTCAAAACGCGATGCACACCCTGTAATATAGTACATGGATAATTTCAGTGGCCTCCAACATCTTCAGTTACAGTTGTAGTTCCAGCCGCGTGTTGTTGCAAGACCCAGATCATGGTGTCCTTCATCTCTTCTTTGCTTGTTTCTGTGTAGTTTATATATATTGTAGTATTACCTGATCGCCGCAAAAATTGATAGGAGGCCGATAGTTCTATTTATACAGGCATAGTTGGACCTCTCCTGTCAATCTGTCTGCATGCAGATGCATTTGTCATGCATTACAGCAAAACAAGCATGACCATGCACTTGATACCGCATCACTAAAAAAGCATGCATCTGCTCCCACTCGAATTTTACAGCTTGCATTCGTTGGCCATTGCAACGACATCCACTCGAGAAAGAACTAGAATGGTCGCAGGGCTTGACCTGCAGTACGAGACCTATATGGGCGGCTAGTACCACTCTGGAGCAGGAGCATTGCTGCCGGAGCGATGGAAAGCAGGCCGAACAGGCTGTGCGCCAGTACAGTTTTCTGCCTTGCATATTGCATAAAAGCCAACAATATTTTGAAATGCATCCTAATTCATTTGGATGGCCAGTACAAATGATCACTCCAAAAGTTCACGCCTCTGAACGTCCTCCTCATGTAGCCCTATCTCTCATCAGTTCTGCACCCTCTGTCCTGCCTCCTCTGTTTTTGATGCCTCTGCTCCAGTAGCACCTAGAAGTCTGCTGGTGGTTGCGAGATTCGCCATGAGAAATGAAACAGAGGCAACCTGGAATGCGTTTTCTGATTTTTCAGTCTCAGTGCTCCCGTATGACAGTCCATCAGTTCGCCAGGAAGGCATTGAATTGTTTGTATGGGCAAAGGTTCCCTAATATAAATACCGTCCTCTATATTGTTCCTAAATATAACAAGTACTCCCTTCCATTCCAAATTATAAAACGTTGTGACTTTCTAGGTATGCAGATTTTTCTATACACTTAGTTATACATTATGTCTAGATAAATAATAAAAATAATGTATTTAGAAAAGACAAATAATGTTATAATTTGGAACTGAGGGAGTACCCTCATCCTTTCTAACGTAGTGGTTATATAATAAATGGACCTTGGCGTAATGCGCACTAAATCGCTTTTGTCATCATTTTGAGCTGTTGAGGCGCGTGAGTTAATAGAGGCATTTCCTGCATAGTTGAGAGGAATTATTGTGAGAAGATTGAAATTAGTGATTGTATTCCATATTGTGTACAAGAGTACATATACGGCCGGGGGTGGCATGCAAGCCTAACCACACAGGCGCTACAATCCCTTCTATAGTTACATTAGTCTAACAATTATATTGCTCAGACTTGCATAACTTGCTGGTTATGTTGTTCTGCAATCCTTTTTGGGCTATAGATTGTTTGTAGTCAATTTATTTTATTATCCACAAACACTACCACAAAAATGATTTTAGCAGACTGGTGACTTGATTAACAGAGGCCGGCAAAAAAGTAGGATGTTCTCCAAAAATAACTTGTGATTAAAAGAGGAGATTATATCATTTTTGGAGACATCGCACTCCAAAAATCATATTAATAGAGACTGGCCTCCTAAAAGGTTTGCCTATGAAAGTAGAGACCCAACATGACCTATTAAGGTCACGGCCCATTGCTCTCTATCGGGCCTCTGAAATATAAAGTACATTGCAGGCCTTACTTTTGTTGTCTTCAAAATGTTAGTCACCGCTGTTGCTCTACCAGATGTTGTTGGAAGAACCAGATCATGATGTCCCTCATCTCATATCTGTAGGTTCCTATGGAGTTTATAGATATTGTACTATTGGTTCATTGTGATAACTGACAGGATGTCAATAGTTTCTTGGAGCTCTTCCATTTCCACGTTCCATTGTTGCTTTAGTGGATAAAAAGCCAGTTAAGGTGGTGTCATCGTTAGATGGCCGCTCTCAAAACAATTGAAGGGCCAGAACAAGCGAGCAGAGGATGGTTGAATGGGAGCCAATAAAAAATTACTAATGTGGCCTATATCCCAATACCAGCCAACACTCCTCTCTTCTAGCTTATGCTTAGATCACATAGTAACAATGTATCTGTTGACCTTGCACCTTAGGAACAAAGCTAGTAAGGTGCGGAAGTAAGACAAACATAGAATGGGGAGACAAAAACATATGAAAACTGGATCCCTTATTATGCAGAACAAATGACCCTGTTTTAAAAGTGTAAACGCATCCCCCAATATACAAACCAGAGGCCCCGACATGCAATATCGGATGACCCGTTATGCAGATTTTAGCCCAAAAAAGTATTAGAGAAAAATGCATAGTTCACCACAGTGCCATCCGCATTTCCATCACCGCCCAAGAGCACCGCGAGGCGTGTCCTCGAACTGTTCGACAGAAGCCCACCCAGGCCCAGGCCCAGGTCCACGCCCTCGCCAACAATCTCTCACTCTCACGGCCGTCGGCTCTTGTCAAAAAAATATATGTGTATTCCAACAAGAAAGGAAAAATGTCAAAAAAAAAAAAAACATGTCTAATGACCTATGTACAACATTTTACAATCATATGTTTATTATAACATTATTAGTTTAGGAACATTGGACATCAATTATTTTTACAAAATTAGTATATAATAATAATAATAATAATAATAATAATAATAATAATAATAATAATAATAATAATAATAATAATAATAAATGTCTAGATCGACTAAAATTTCTATAAATTGCTAGCCCTTGTAGGACCGGGTTGATTGGCTAGTTGTTCAAAAAAAACATAGAGAAGTCCACAAATGTATGCCTTTAAACAAACAGTTGAGTTAAAACAGGAAAAAGACTTCAATCGACAACAATATAAATATTTCATATAACCTGCAATCCTGAAAGGAAACTATCTACCATCTTGGGCAGATATTGTCACACCATTAAGACTAGGCGGATCATAAACTGTGGACACTTCTTCGGTGGTCACCCTTGTGTGGAAAAATGCAGGGTGCTTTGGCTCAGGTAGTGTCATACTATCACTGCTTAGCATGGAAACCACGTGTGACATGGTCGGTCGATCAGCCGCATGCTCTTGCACACATAACAATGCAATGTTAATGCATCTAACAATTTCTAGTGCATGAACATCACTAACTAGTGATGTGTCCACGAGTTCAAGCCATAATCCTTCTTTCCACAACTGCCATGCCTGCAAAGAGTTATCACGCAGTACAGAGTTATAGTGTGAGTTTTTCGCTAGTGCTCCGCGCCTATGCATTGGTAAGAATTTAAATGTAATGAGTCCTAATTGAATATTGATGGCACTCAGTGCTCCATTCAAAATCAACCCATTGATTTGCCAAGTGGCCAAGCTAAATTTTGATCAAATCTAGGCCCTGTTTGGATACTCCTCTAAATATAATCAAATCTAGGCCCTGTTTGGATACTCCTCAATTATTGATCCAAACAAGATTGATTACATGATGGATTACTATAATCAAAACTCTTGATTATCATAACCCTATAATCTAGCTGAGATCAGGTTATAGGGGATTATGGGTGTTGAAAGTCGAACCTGTCCCCCAACCGATTATCCAACTTGCCAAACTATAAAGAATCCAACCAACCATAATCTATTGATCCAAACACTCTAATTATTATAATCAGCAATCCTTATTATAGTAATTATATGCATAATATAGATTATAATAATCTAACTGTGATCCAGACAGACCTCCTACTGTTTTTTTTTGTAATTTTTAGGGGGTGCATTACCACCCCCTAACCACAGCATAGCTTCGCCCCTGGATTTGCCTTAAACTTTGTTCTTTCCTGTCTTCTTGGGAGCTTATTAGAGGCACAAACATTTATATGTTAGTATTTCAAAATTGAAAGACTCACATGTCCTAGAATGTTGATGAAGTCCCCGTACCCATGGAAACTCGATGCTCTTTTCCCACTGATGATCTCCAGAATTAGCACACCAAAGATGAATACATCAGATTTCACTGAGAAGAGGCCCTCTGATGCGTACTCAGGAGCCATATAACCACTGAAAGCATGCATGTAACAAATTTCAGGTCAAGTAGCTGTATTTGGCAGGTAAATGTATTATACTATAGCTTGGATACTACTCTGTAGGAGAACCATACTATGTCCCAACGATTCTTCTTGTGTGTCCTTCAGTATCTTTTGTGCTAAATATCTTAGCGAGCCCAAAATCTGAAATTTTAGGGTTCATTTCAGAGTCCAAGAGAACATTGCTTGCTTTAAGATCTCTATGAATGACTCGTAACCGAGAGTGCTTATGCAAATAAACTAGTCCTTGCGCTATCCCTTCTATTATTGCTCGGCGTCTAGTCCAATCAAGCAAAGCCCTCCTTGTTTGATCTGCATATCAATTAACCATATGTTTATTATAAAAAGACACCATCAGATCCTAGAACCTGTGGCTAGCAGATGTTGTAAGAAATGAATACCAAAAATGAAGAAGTCCAAGCTTTTATTTGGCAAATATTCATATACTAGTATTTTTTCCTCTCCCTGGGAGCAGCATCCCAAGAGCCTAACCAGGTTTGTGTGCTGGAGTTTGGCTATGAGCTGGATTTCATTTTTAAACTCCATGAAACCTTGCCCTGAATGTGAAGAAAGTCTCTTAACTGCTATCTCCATCCCATCTGGAAATCGGCCCTATATAAACATGTTAAAAAAACAATAATTTTATAATTCAATTGTTACCTGGACACTTCACTAGCTATTGTTTGGACCAGGACCATCACCGAGAAAACAAAACCACTGTCCTGATGTCTTTGAGTATGTTAGGAACTCGAATTTCACAGGATTTATTATGTAAGGAACACTTCAATCTTAAGAAGAATATGCAAAAGTTCCACAGTTTCAAACTGTGAATATGACTATTTCTCAACATGTTTAAAATTTATCTGTGTACCTGTCCGGGAATGTCTTTTTTTTCTTGGGAAAATTGGTTCTATAGCATCGAAAGGTCGCGACATTCGCAAAATACCATCGAAAGTTCGTTGTCACGTAAAATACCATTGAAAGCAATAATCTGTTCCGGAATCTAGCATTCTATTAACTTATTGTTAACGGCGTCTCCCTCACACTCACTCCGTTTCACTCAGAGAGGATGGTCCACTCGTCATCCTCTTCCCACCCTCTCAGCAATCCTGTTGGCATGTTGTAGTCGCTCATTTCAAGCGCCGGCCAAGCCCTCTCCACTCCTCGCTTGACTCCACTCAGATGGAGATGACTGGTAGAGAGGTGGTGGCCGATCGAGGACTTGGCTATGGCGCATTGCTTCGTCTTGCTGCACCCGTACGTCGAGCTTGTCGTGCTGGGACCATCCGTACGTCGAGCTGTGCCAAAGACCCACTAGGCGCTGCTCCTGCTCCCCGGCTGCGGAGGGAGGCATGCTCACCCTCCAGGCTGCAGCAGAGGGGACACGACAAGCCATGGGCATGGGTGGCACACGCGCTAGCTTCTACTCGGCGGCACCCAACCCAGCCATTGTCCTCGCAATTCGCAAGAGGGCCATGGGCACTGTGGATAGCAGCTACCTTCCACCATGGCCGGATGAGGAGCTGCAGTTGGGAATTCTAGGCAAGACAACAAGGATGTAAGTGGGGCAACTCGTCACCGTGTAGCTCCACCCCTTTTTCCATAAACGTGGTGACAGACAGGACCTGCAACTGCTGGTTCGATATGGTACCTGTGCGTGTTGAACGGCGGCAAGTACAAAACCGGCTGCAAGCTGCTGTCCAAAGCCCAAGGCCGAGCAGCCCTTGGTATCGCCGTTCAGCAGAAGCACGTCACCATTCACCAGGTCATAAATGATGACCTTCGGCTTGGCCGCTTGGGGTTGTCGCTGGTGTCACGGGAGGTTGAGCGAGAGGAGCATGGACATGGCAGACGTGGAGCCATGGAGGTCTCACGCGTCATGTGTGAGGTCGTGAGGAGGATGGAGATCGAGAATTGGACATGCTACTACCTACTATGCCGTGAAGCATGGACATGGCAGCTGCGTTTTTTGTTCTTTCACAGGTGAGTGGAGCAATGGAGGTCTCAGGCGGGTGGAGGTGGATAGAAGTTCACAACATTATCTCAAAATGAGACGGAGTGGTGTTTTCAGATAATAGTTCATTCTTTCGGCGCTATTTCACGAACGTGCAAACTTAGATGGTATTTTCCGGATACCGTAATCTTTCGGTGCTATGGAACCAATTTTCCCTTTTTCCTCTTACCTTGTACACAGGACCAAAGCCACCCTGCTCAAGTTTATTTTCTTCTGAGAAGTCACCTGTAGCCTGTAGTACTTCGGTGAAGTCATAAACCATCAATTGTGAACTCTTTCCTTCCATTCCCCAAACTAGGGCTTCATCGTCCGCCAGATTCATTTTAGCCTTGTCATGTGGAACTGAATCCGGATCTTGATTTAATATTTTGGTGTAAGAAACTACTAGAGTTTCATTTACATGTAGATAACTTACCTTTTCTGTTTAGTCTGATGAATATGAAGCATAGGGTCAAACCAAAAATGGATAAAAGTAGTGGCACAACCAAGGCTATGACAAAAACTTTGCTCCTGCCCCCTGCCATCAAACAAGACAGATAATTTGTGAAAAAAGATAGAAAATTCTTATTAAAGAAAAGGTTTGTTGTATATGTTTATTATTAGATAACATGCAAGCGTGGTTTCCATGCTTCAAACGCTCAACCTTCCAACTTGTGGGAATCCTCCTTTAGATCTCACTTTTGCTTACATTGTGGATAGAAATACATATTTTTACTCATTTTATGCCATGTGTCGGTGTTTCGAACAACCGACAAGTAAATTTGTATATTGCGCGTATGGTCCGGATGGTGTGCTAAGAGGACACAAGGATTATACTGGTTCGGGCTGAATGTCCCTATGTTCAGTTTCGGGCTGCTCGTGTTACCAGCACTTGGTTTGTAGTAGGGGGTTACAAACTGAGAGAGGGAGGAGCTCCCAAGTCTCTGAGGCATGGATCGGATGAAGTGGAGTTGAAGTGCTCTGGTTAGCTGTGTGAGCGGGTTGAGGCTTCGAAGGTTCGATTGGTCGATGTCTCTATTGCTCGATCTATTGATTGATCGATCTCTCCCCATTGAACAGTGTCCTGCCTCCCCTTTTATAGACCAAGGGGAGAGAGCAGGTTACCGGAGAAAGAGAGAAGAAAAGAGGAAAAGAAGAAAGAGAAAAAAAGGCTCCTGGGGTTGTGTCGTCCTCCTCTTCGCGTGGGTCCCGCTGACCCTATAGATCGTGGCGGAAGTGGCGCCATGCCGGTGTCATGTTAGCCGCTGCAGCACACGTGCGGGCATCGTGTGCCGGTCTTATCATCCATCTCATCTGGGTGGACCGTATGGTCAACGAATCCCCTGACATAGGCCATACGGGGAGTTGGCGGTACAGTGCCAGTCAATTGACGTTGGACGGACGTCAGGCGGGGAGTTGGCAGCACAGTGCTCTCCTATCGAGGTCGTGGGCGACGTGTGTCTTCCAGCGTGGCCGTCGTGGTGATGAGTCGTATCGAGACGTGCGCAGCCTTTCCATCCATAGTGGTTGGCGACAGCGTGTGCCCATGTTGGGCTGATGCTTCCTTCCGAAGGTGAGCCCGCGCCCTCGGGGTCGGGTGAGGTGGAGCCCGTTCCCTTAGGATTGGGCAAGACGGAGCCCACACCCTTGGGGTCGGGTGAGGTGGAGTCTGCACCCTCGGGGTCGGGCGAGGTGGAGTCCGCACCCTCAGGGTCGGGCGAGGCGGAGTCTGTGCCCTCAGGATTGTGCAAGACGGAGACCCCTCTATGGGGTCGGAAAGACTATAGCTTTCATCTTTAACCATTCAGGCGAGTTAGAGTTTATGTCTGCTAAACTCCTTATGCCGAGTATCCCTAATATTGACACCCGACAGTAGCCCTCGAGCCTGTGGAGGAGTGGGACATTTCTGCAAAGGCTTTTTGAGGTGATCTGTCATTTGTGTGCGACCGCGTGTTCGGTCTCTTTGCGATTCCAAGCCCCCGAGCCCCCGCGCATAGCAGGGGTCCAGTCGAGGGGTCAGTTCGTCTTGTGATCATCGTCCCTCATGCATTGATTCGTTAGAACAGAGGGGCTAAGCCATGTCGTGCTTTCCTCGCTGGACAAAGCACGGTGCTCAGTGTGTTGTTAACAGGCCTGTTTGAGTGGAGCCCCATCATCCCCTTCATGGGGGCTTGGTTTGAGGTTAGCTGGTGACTGACTCCAGATTCTTGGCGGCCGGTCCATATAGTTCTCAGATCCGTTCGACTAGTCCGAGGGCTCACTGCCTTTCTTCGGGAAAAAACCATAGACCTTGCATCATCCAAGACTCAAAACATGGCTCGGGACACCTATGGCGCTTCGCGCGCCTTAGGTATTGGCCGCTAGCGGACCCGTCCTTAACCTCCCCTCACTCTAGGGTGCCCCAGAGTGGCTATGAACCCACTGGCGGGCCAGCCTTCAAACTCCTAGGCCTTAATGGGCCATGGGAGTGTTTTTAGCTCCGTATCCCACTTACCTACGGCGGCCTGTGGCCTTTGAAGGTGAACCATCGCCCGACGGATCCTTCACGGGGAAGATTTGGGATAGGCATGCGCTCATCTCCCGAGGCGGCGAAGTGGTGATGCAGCGAGGAACAGTGAGGGCACGACTCCCGAAGAAGCAGAACTAGCGAGGCGCGTGGGGCACATCGATCAAGGTAGACGGCTCGCCTCTCGCACGCTCCACCCTTTTCCTTGTAAATTGAGCCGTTTCTCCCCGTCTTCCGCATGCTCAACTACGTCCTCGCCCCTCCTATTTTCTGCCATTAGCTCTCGAGCTCCGACCTTTGCTCCTCTGTTTCCCCTTCGCTGCCGGTGAAGTTTTCGCTCTTCAGCCCTCACCTCTTCATGGGGTCATGGTACCATTCCGATGTCACCCACAGGCGTATGGAGGGCCTCATCAGGCGTGGCCTTCTTCCCACGTGGACTAAGGTGCTCGAGTGGCTCATTCCCGATGATGAGGAAGCATCGACGTCGCCCGATGGCTACGTCATCTCCTTCACCTTCTTCCACAAGCGTGGACTAGCGTTGCCTCCCCACAAGTTCCTTAGGGGGCTGCTGCACTATTACAAGATAGAGCTACAGCACCTGAACCCCAACGGGATCCAGCACATCTCGGCCTTTGTCGCGGTGCGAGAGGGTTATCTAGGGATTGAGCCACACTTCAAGCTGTGGAGGTATTTTTTCTCCCTATCCCTCAACAAGAAGGGAGACAGGAGGGGAGAGCAGTCGATGCCGATGGGGTGCGCCAGCATCCATCTCCACGGCCGCCGGTCCGCTGAATACATGGAGCTGCTGCTAGCGAAGTCAAACAAAGGGTGGCACCAGCTTTGGTTCTACCTGAAGAATGATGCCGCCGCCCCCCTGCCGGACTTCACCAGGCGGACGATTGAAGCCACACTGGACGTGTGGGGGTGGGGGGCCCCCGACAAGGAGAAGAAATGGATCTAGGACCACCTGGGTGCCATTGCCCATCTGAAGAGCTATGGCCTTCGTGGGACCGAGGTCATCGAGGCGTACCACACGAGGAGGGTGGCACCCTTGATGGTGCGCGCTCTCCCATTGTATTAGATGACCCCCGAGGCCGATCTCAGTGGGACGGTGCTTGCGCTCAAGGCGCCGCGCAACTCCAAGATTGCGCAACGCATTAAGGAGGCAACGGACGATGATGTCGAGTTCCCGGTTCCTAGGAACCCTCCAATGCGTCCGGATGTAGGGTACATCGGTTTGGTGAGCTTCTCTCTGTTTTCCCTCCTTACCTTCCCTCCTAGATCTATACTCTGACACTGATAATCATGGTCTTGCAGTCACACTTCCTCCTTCGTGACGCTGCTGCGCCGCTGCTGGAGCACACGGCTTTGAGGGCCATAAATCGTGTGGAGAACGAGAGGTAGCAGAAGGAGAAGGAGGAGGAGGAGAAGAAGAAGGTGGCGGCGAAGGCGTGGGCTAAGGAAGACCGCAAGCGGTGATGGTGAGGCTCGGACGAGGAGGATGACACCGAGGAGGAGGAAGAAGAGGAATGGGAGGCCAACAATGAGTACAAGCCCATCATCCAGTGGGACGCGCTTACGCGCGAGGATGAGGATTCGTCCTCGTAGTAGGCTGAGGGGGGGGGGCAGGTCAATCTAACCCCAGTTCTACAGCATGCCTTGGCGCGAACCGAAGAGGATGCGCCTTCGAGATCAGTGGGGTAGGACGCGCCCCTGAGGTCGGTGGAGTAAGTCTGCCCTGCTCCGACCGACCCCACCAGGGGCTCGAAGCAACCGATCGTTGACGTGGCGGGGTCAGAGTTGAGCGACCGACCCCCGAAACATTCTCGAATGATGGCGTCGAGGTGAGTTAATGACTTTTTCGCCCTTTCATGTTCTTAGATTTCGCCATGTGACGCTGGTGCTTACCGCAGGACCGTCAGGAGCGGCGGCCGCCTGACGTTGGCGCAGCATAAGGCCCTTGCGCGTCGGTCAGTCTCCCAGGAGCCGACTGACATGGTGCCAAGGGCACGCCATAATGGTGTTGCGGTGGTCACGGCACCGCCCGAGGAAGCGGAGGAGGCGGAGGCGACGATTTTGCCGACGGAGGAGGTGCTCATGGATTTGGCGCCAGCGCCAGCCGACATGCTCGAGGTGGGGCAAATGGGAGGGGGTGCGACCAAGGCGTCCCCTATAGACATGGCGATGGCTCGGACTTCGAAGCCCAAGCTACTAGCCTCCTCTGCCATTGGAGGGTCCGCTCCCGAGGGAGTGCCACCGAAGGAGGAGGTACTGTCGGCTCCCGTTGGGCCGATGACGACTGTTGCGACGACCAACCCCTCGGTTGGGGCTGGGCCATCTCAGTCCCTTGTCCGACTAGGTGGCGATCTGCTCACATGGGGAGGACGTCGGCTCCGTTTGGCCAGCCAGCGGGACCTGGGTACCCTGCTTTTCACCCTTGACGACCAAGCGGAGTTGGAAGGATTGGACGAACATGTGCTCGGGACTTGAGTCCGTAGTCCGCACCCTGACCGACGCGTTGGGGGTGTTGAAGGATGACATTGCCCCGGCCGGCTAGGTTCATCGTGTCCACGTTTTCCACTTTCGAGCCCTGTTTATGAAATTCTAACCTGAGTCTTTTCCATAGTCCCTTATGATGTGCAGCCGGGAGAAGTCCCTGTTCCTCCGTCGCGAGAAGGAGGTTTAGGGGCTTGCTACCGAGGTGCCATGGCTGTGGGAGGAGGTGGCGAGCCCCTAGACTAGGGAACGGGATGCCCATCAACATGCCAACGAGGCCGAGGATAAGCTCATGGCCATGGTCACTAGGGCGTGGGAAGATGCCATGGAGCTTGAACGACTCCACATGGCATGCGACCTTGCTCGTCAAGAGAGCGCCGATGCTCGGCGTGCGCTCGAAGATGAGCAAAAGTTGAAGGTGGATGCTGAGGGCCTAGCCGCCACCTTGGCCGATGAAGTTGGTGTGCTCCTAGGGTGAAGAAGACCCTCGAGGAGCAAGTGAGAGGTGAGGCTCTGGTTTCCCCTGTCACTTTTTTGCTTGACGTTTGCAGTCGGCTTTCTAATGCTCTTTGATGTTCGGCTTGGGCAGGCCATGATGAGCGGCTTGCCGCAGAGGCGGTGATGGCCTGGGACCTATAGAGGCAACTCACTGAGGCGCAGGTCAACTCTAGTCAGAGAGCGACTAGCACGATGCCTTGCGCGTTGCCGTTGGGTTGGTCTTTGACGACCTCGTGGTTGCCCAGCCGAGGGGACGAGCTTGCTCGCCGTTCGGGTTACCCAGCTCCCGAGTCGGGCGCACGCGCTCGCAAGGGAGGCCCTATGCACCGACGTCCAACATGTGTTCGCGATCTCCCGCTCCCACTACATCGACATCAACCTACCAGTGATCAGTGAGGGCTTCGCGCCTGGCTACACTGACACCGAGCTAGATGAGATCGAGAAGGAAGTGGCTCCCCTGGCGCAGGACCTAGCAGAGAAGATCGAAGAAGAAATCCTACCCCTGAGAGGTTAGTTAGATAGCTGAGTCCGACATTGGTCTTTTGTAAAGACTTTTGTTATGGTAGGGAATGTTGTTCGGCCTGTCTTCTTATATATAAAACGTTTATTGCGATCCGACCCTTGACTTATGTTAAGGCATTAGAAATTTAAGTTGCGAGCGACTAAGTAATGATCACGCTGGTGAGCAAGCGATGTCGTAGCCATCGGGGCGTAGGCTTCTTGCATTCCGACCAGTTTTACTCATCGTTAGTTTTTGGCAACTCTTATTTCTAGATCTTGTCATAAAAAAAGGTCGGATGGGAAAATGTTTCTGAGTACATGTAATCCTATCAGCCCCCGAGTAAGACCTGACCTAAGGTAGTTGCCGGGGTCGGGTGTTACTTAAGACCGATTAAATCAGAAGCGAATCTGATAGGAGGTAACATTTTTTGATTTTTCACAAACATTACTTAGTTTTATAAGCATATTGATAGCTTTGGAATGGAAAGGCTAAGGGTAAAAGTGACATAGTTGTTCGATGTTCTAGGCATTGACGTTGGCTTTGTCGTCAGCAGTCTTGAGCTTGTAGGTGCCGGGGCAGAAAGCTTGTGGCGATTTTTGTTGCTCTGGATGCGGCGAAGGACTAAATCGCCTACGTCGAAGGCCTGACTCCGCACACGTCGGCTATGGTACCGACGTAGCGCCCACTGGTATTTGGCCGAACGAAGGAGGGCGACGTTGCGTGCTTCATCAAGCAGGTCCATGGCATCTTTCCAAAGATGCTTCGTTTCCCTGCTCGTTGTAGGCCTTGACCCTCGGCGCTCCATAGTCGAGGTCGGTCAGGAGGATGGCTTCGGAGCTGTAGACCATGAAAAATAGCGTGTAACTGGTTGCTCAGCTGTTTGACGTCCTTAGGCTCTAGAGTACCGAAGGGAGCTACGCGACCCACCGTCCGCCGGCTTTGTTGAGCCAGTTGAAGATCCTGGGCTTGAGGCCTTGTAGAACCATGCCGTTCGCATGCTCGACCTACCCGTTCATGTGGGGGTGCGCTACGGTAGCCCAATCAACGCGGTTGTGGTGGTCGTCGCAGAACTGAAGGAATTTCTTCCCTGTGAACTGCATGCCGTTGTCGGTAATGATGGAGTTCGGGGCCCCGAATCGGTGGATGATGTCCATGAAGAACAACACGGCCCGCTCGGATTTGATCACAGTGATCGGTCGGGCCTCTATCCACTTTGTGAACTGGTCCACGGTGACAAGTAAGTCTCTGAGGCGTGGATCGGATGAAGTGAAGTTGAAGTGCTCTGGTTGGCTGTGTGAGCGTGTTGAGGCTTCGAAGGTTCGATTGCTCGATGTCTCTATTGCTCGATCTATCGATTGATCGATCTCTCCCCATTGAACGGTGTCATGCCTCCCCTTTTATAGACCAAGGGGAGACAGCAGGTTACCAGAGAAAGAGAGAAGAAAAAGAGGAAAAGAAGAAAGAGAAAAAAGGCTCCCGGGTTGTGTCGTCCTCCTCTTCACGTGGGTCCTGCTGACCCTATAGATCGTGGCGGAAGTGGCGCCATGCCGGAGTCCTGTTAGCCGCTGCAGCACACGTGCGGGCGTCGTGCACCGGTCTTATCGTCCATCTCATCTGGGCGGACGGTATGGTCAACGAATCCCCTGACAGAGGCCATACGTTGATTTGGCGGCACAGTGCCAGTCGACTGATGTTGGATGGAGGTCAGGCGGGGAGTTGGCAGCACAGTGCTCTCCTGTTGAGGTCGTGGGCGACGTGTGTCTTCCGGCGTGGCCGTCGTGGCGATGAGTCGTATCGAGACGTGCGCAGCCTTCCCATCTGTAGTGGTTGGTGACAGCGCGTGCCCATGTTGGGCTGATGCTTCCTTCCGAAGGCGAGCCCGCGCCCTCGGGGTTAGGCGAGGTGGAGTCCGTTCTCTCGGGATTGGGCAAAACGGAGCCCGCGCCCTCGGGGTCGGAACGAGGCGGAGCCCGCGCCCTCGGGGTCGGGCGAGGCGGAGTCTACACCCTCGGGGTCGGCCGAGACGGAAACCGCGCCCTCAGGGTCGGGCGAGGCGGAGTCTGCGCCCTCTGGATCGGGCGAGACGGAGACCCCTCTGTGGGGTCGGAAAGACTATAGCTTTCGTCTTTAACCATGCAGGCGAATTAGAGTTTATGTCTGCTAAACTCCTTATGCCGGGTATCCCTAATATTGATATCCGATAGTGTGTCATATAAAACCTTTTTTCATATAACTTCCAAATTATGAAAAAATATTCAAATACAAAGTTATAGATCTCTTCAGACCTACAAATTTTGTATAATGTTTGTCTCCATATGACTCTTCGAACAAGTAATGAATTTTTTAATACAAACTGATATATAAATTACAATGGTGGGAAATTGGCCTTGGATATTGCAATACAATTCACCATAGATAATGAGAACGGCAACAACAGCCGTATAGATAGTCATTGGTGTATCTATTCTACCAGATAATAACAATTGGATGGCTTACAATCGCTGATTTTTCTTGCGCACTGACATGGATTTGCCGCACTGATTACTGTTTTGCTAGTGTTAGCCTAATTCAGTATTGCAAGTTCTATGGAATTCGTTGTCAAAAACATATATTTAAATGAACATCTTTATAGCTAATGGAACTTCTATATTCACAACTATTTTTTAGTATGTACACCTTAAAAATTGTTCGTGGATCTTACATATTTCTCAATGAACACAAATATGAGGAGAGGGAATATGTGAAAAATTTATTGTCACATCAAAAGATTGTCATCTACACTGGAATAATACCATATACACTGTGTCTGTTTTCCCAACTGTGAAAGGAGAGATATAGCGACGTGAACTATGTATATGTGGGTCAGTGACTCGTGTTCAGTAATTGCTTTATGCATTTCGAATCACGTAATAGTGACAATATTAATTATTCCTTATTATTTTAAAACTAGATTCTTCAGAAGCGACTATTTTATTAGTGGAGTAGTGATGCTATATTAGCTAACACGCTTTGGGAAAATAAAACTAATCTAAATACTAACAGAGGTCAAGGGATTTGAGAGATTTTTCACCCAAGAAGAATGTAATGCAAGAAACATATAATATTTGACTAGTTGTGATTAACGAATTTATCAACAAATTTTTATTTCTTATGTAATATAAATTTCTATGCCGTGCTGGAGCATGGGTGCTGATGGGCTAGTGTGTCATTATATATATGTGGGCTAGCAATTTGTTTTTAACAATCACTCTTTGGGTTCCTACTTAGGTAGGAGACGAATGGACACTGTCACAATAATCAGAAATGTGTCACTTTTTAATTTGTATTAAAAATAGATGGCCGAAAGTTAGTTATATATTGTTCTAAATAGCTTCCTAGTGACAGTAAACTAAGGGCATGTTTGAATCCCCCTTCTAAACTTTAGACCTCTAAATAAACTTTAGAGTTAAAGCTCCAAACAGATGGTCTAAAGTTAGCCCACCTCACATTAGAGTATTAGACCTCAAAAAAAAGCTAAAGTGTTATACTTTTTTTAGAGATCTAAAGTTTAGAGGAGAGGATCAAACAGGCCCTACACTCTTTAAAAAAGGCAGATAATATAGAAAGTGATGGGTGTTAATAAGAGAGAGAATGGAGTTTCTCAGCCCAAAAGCATAGAAGACAAGAAACACATACCATCATCCTGGATGGCTGCTGGTCCTGGTAGTGGCAGTTGCAGCATGGTGGAACCATTGAAGAAACGGTACACCTCATACCGCACGATGCACCGCAGCCCAGCAATCCTGGCGCCCTTGGTACTGGGGATGAACTGTTGTGGCATCTCAGCAATCGCCGTGTCAAGGCACCCGCGGCACTGCCCGGGCGTCAGGTCGGGGTTGCAGGACGTCAAACCGTAGATAAACGGGTAGGCCGCGTCGAATGCAATGGATCCCGTGAGGAACCTGTTGGACGAGTTATCCATGGTACCAATGTAGGCGACCATGCTGCTGAGAAGCTCGTAGGTGGTCGCGTAGAACTGGGCGACGTTGGAGGTGACATACTGGCCGTTGTAGAGAAACACCTCCTGGTCGTCCGAGTTGGTCGTGGAGGTGAGGAAGTCCTGGTCGGAGAAGCCGAGGAGGCACGTGTCGTAGAAGATGGCCACGCGCTTGTTGTCGGGGCACATCTTCTGCGCCTGCTCGAAGCTGGCCGCGATGCAGTCGCGGCACGCGGTGGCGCTCTGGTCGCCGCCTCATTGCCCGAGGGCGTACACCGTGTTCGGTGCCGTCCCGGTTGTGGCGGTGGCGAAGAGAGTGGCCGATGAGGAGACGTTGCCGGGCAGGGCCGCAGCGACCAGGCGGAGGTTGCCACCATAGGCGCTGTTGGCCGTGTAGTTCCCGGTGCTGCTGTTGCAGGCTGGCCATGGTATAGCCGCCGCGAGCGGCAGCGTGAGAGCGATCAACAGGCTGGCAACCACATAGCCCGCGGCATGGCCGGGCATGCCCATAGATGGTATCAAGTGGATTGTTGGTTAGTGTGCGTGGCCTCAAGCCCTCAACTGACGAGAAAAGAGAGTAGTGCAGCAGGAGTCCACCTGAATAAACCTGCTATGAAAGAAGCCGCCCGGTGTGAGAAGGTGGACGAGAGGATGAAGGAAGCCATGTAGGGAGCTCGGAATGCGGGGCCTCCATTGACCTGACTTCTTCGCCACACCTAGTCTTCCTGCTTCGTTTTCCAGGGAGACTGCTGGGCTAGTCTTTCCTTCCTGCCGTGCTGTTTAGTGTAAAGCATATCTACGATCCTTACAGTAGGCCCCATGAAATGAAAGGACTAAAGTCTTGAGCGGCCCAGTCAATATAATTATACCTTTCTATGGTGTGCATACAGTCGCACGTCATGGACTGATGGATAACAACGTACAGTGTACCTACAGGCTACAACTGGTCAAGTCGTACGAGATATTTTGTACCAAACTTTTGTAAACAAACATTTAAATGTTTGATCGTGATGGCTGAACCAAACACTAGAAGCCCTTCCAGACTGGACTGGACAAGCGGTTAGCAGGGTGACCGGTTGTGCAGTAGGAGAACACCCATGATAGGGTGCCCGCTCACTTCCAATGACTGTCTCTAGAAGTAAACTTTTTAAAGACGGCCATATTAAAACTGTCTTCTTTATTTGAAGATGGGGTTATTTTGCTGCAGGTGTTCTTGTTAAGCGTCGATGGTGATGAATTTCAAATTACAAAGACTACCATGTAAGGTGACCGCCTCTAGAAGCCCATTTTCAAAAGGACCCTTAAGGTGACCAGCATAAATAAGAAAATCATTTTCAGAGATGGTCATTTATTTTAAACAACCGCCTCTGTAAATTTCAGATGTCAACTTAAGTGATAATGTTTATAAATCCAGGTTTAGATGCAGTTGTCTTATATTAATCGACCACCTCTCGAAAATGGCAAACTTTTTTAGCTTTATATAAAATTTGATGAAGACAGACTTTATGATGGAATTGTGGACATAAAGAAAACTAAAATTTTGTAGCTGAAAGCATTTTGTTGAGAACATTTAGTGCCCTATTAAACATTCACAAGTTCCTAGATTTTTTTTAAATAGGTTTTTAATTTTTCAAAAAGCTAGCCTGGATATAGACAACCTTTGCATTTACAATGGTTTACTTTTCTAAGCATGCAAGAGATATTTCTGTGAGTATCCAGGTCATGTTTTCAATGGCTTTTGCAAGATATCTATCACTAAAGTTGTTGGGTCAAATCTATTGATTCCCTAACTTTACTGTCAGCAGCGGTGGCCATGGCAGCGTTGGTACCACGAGCGTGGTGGTGGCTGAGACTTTGGCGCGTGGCCTAGGACAGATATTTTTGGAGTGTGCGGCATTAATGCGGACTTTGAACAAAGTATCGTTCGGCAGGATGGGCTCAGGATGAAGAAGTCAAGAAAATATGCCTTGCTTGTAACGAGAGAGATGGACAGACTTGAAACAATGACGACAAACGATAGATTTTCTACCGCAGAATTAATCTATCTCAGCCTCTCATACGAATGGATAGTTTGAGCCTACAATACAGGGCTCTGTAAGTATTTATTTGTACGCATTGCAGATTTTTTTTTTTACGATTACACAATATAGCTTAGACACAGCACACGCAAACTCACCCCTATGAGTGCATGCATGCAAACCTTATCCCTATGAGCATCTTCGAAGACTAAACCATGGCATTGGGGATTGACCTAGAAACCTGACTCGATCAATGATCCCCTTTGTCCGGTGGGCCATGATATGGCGGTGTTTGGGAATTCATCCTTCGTGTTAAGGATGAATTCGTGTGGCATCTGCGCAATTGCCGCAGAAAGGCACCCACGGCACTCCCAAGGCTCCAGGTCAGCACTGCACGACACCATTCCGTAGATATTGGAGTATGCCGCGTCAAAACCAATGGCTCCAGACACGGACTTGTTCTGTAAGTCTGCGGTAGCAACGTAATCGGCCATGGCATTGAGGAGCTTGAAGGCGGATGTGCTGAACTGGTCGACTTCGTTGGAGGTGATGTTCTGACCGTTGTAGAGCAACACCTCCTGGTCCTGCAAGTTGGTGGTGGAGACGAGAAAATCTTGTTCGGAGAAGCCGAGGAGGCACGTGTCGTAGAAGATGGCCACACGCCTGTTGTATGGACACATCTTCTGCGCCTGCTCAAAGCTGGTCGCGCGCGATGCAGTCGTGGCAGGCAGTAGCGCTCTGCCCGCCAATGCATTGCCCGATGGCGTAAACTGTATTGGGCGCCGTCCCGGTTGTGGCGATGGCGAAGAGGGTAGGCGACGTGGAGACGTTGTTTGGCAGGGCTGCAGCGACCAGGCGGAGGTTGCCGCCATAGGTGCTGTTAGCGGTGTATGTCCCGGAGCTGCTGCTGCAGGCTGGCCATGGTATACCAGCCGCCAGCGGTGGAGTGAGGGCGATCAGCAGGCCAGGAACCGCGTAGCTAGCCCACGGCATGGCCGCGCATGCCGTTTGTTTCAAGTGGATTGTTGGCGAGCGTGGCCGGCCGCAGCTGATGATGAGCGAGGAGAGAGTGCAGCAGCAGTGCACCTCAGCTAAACCTGATAAGACCGAAGATGGTGGGAGAAGGTGGACGAGAGGATGAGGTTGTGGACCTTGGGGTGGGGAGGAAGCCAAGTTGGGAGCTCCGAATGCGTGGGGCCTGCAACGACTTGACTTCACTACCCCAACCACAAGTCTTCCATGCTACCCTTTCCAGGGAGACTGCTGGCACTACTTAAAAAAGCATTTTTAGGGGCGGCTGATAACTCTTTGTAGGGGTGGTTTGGCCAGCCGCCCCTACCAAACCGTCTCTATAAATCATGTATTTATAGGGACGGTTCCCAGACTGCCCCTACAAATTGATTTGTAGGGGTGGCTGATGATTGAGCCGCCCCTACAAATCAATTTGTAGGGACGGTTCGTATTACCAGCCGCCCCTACAAATCGATTTGTAGGGGCGGCTCAATCACTAGCCGCCCCTACAAATCGATTTGTAGGGGCGGCTCAATCACTAGCCGCCCCTACAAATCGATTTGTAGGGGCGTCTGTAGTGTCAGCCGCCTCTATAAAATATGTTTATAGGGGCAGTTCAATCTAGAACCGTCTCTACAGTACGTTTTCACGCAAAAAAAATTTAAATTTACAATTCAAATTTGACCAGAACTGTTTGTTTCCGCGTATTCCATCCAGCGTTCATGTTGCCGAACGTCGCGCGACCAACGTTCCGAACCGCGTTCGCGTTGCCAAACGCCCCGCGACCAACGTTCCGAACTACGTTCGCGTTGCCGAACGCCCCGCGACCAACGTTCCGAACACGATTACAAGCACAATAGTATTATATAAACTACAATTACAAAGTCCAATTCATAAGGATATATACAATCCATCATTAAATATACAAATTTCATAGACATTGTTATCAACGTTCTAGAGCTAGCCTTTCAGTCTCACGAAGGTGTTGGTACTGAGGATTTCTAGCTAAGTCAGACTCTCGGTCATGGTAGGCGCCTTTGACGTGTACAATCTGGTCCAATATGAAGTTGCAAAGGTCGCCGACGAGCTCTAAGAGTTGGTCATCCTTGTATGGGTCTTTTTTCATTCCTTTCTCTTCTCTCCACTACAAGAGAACAAGTTTCGGTTTAGTATTTCATATCATGTATGAAGTTTTTATATTACTGATGAAGAGGTTCAAACTTACCCTTAAGGGGTGTCTCCTGCAGGCACTGGTGTTACTCATCATAGAACATATATAGTATCCACAATGTACACTCTCAGGCCTCTGCTTGGGGCACTGTATGTTTTGCATATGAAAATGTTAGGTAATGCTTTTGACAGCCATGTAACGGAGTACTGAAGAAGTAAGTTACACTTACCGCACATAGTGTTTTTATAGCCAGCTTTTCCTTTGTTGCTGGATCATGCCTTCCGTGATGATGAGTGACATAGAACCTAAATGCCCTGTTCGAATTATTTTAGCAAATACAACTTGTTAGTATCCATAAGTGAACATTACAAGTATGTATACAAACATATAAGCTAATGAGGATTGTCGATATGTATACGTCTTAAGAATCGATATGAAGTTTTTGTATGTCGCCGGGTCCTTATCTATTGAATCAAAGACCCATGCCATTCTTCTCCCGACATCGACGGCTATACAAATCCAGTGGTTGCTGCATGGATTTAATCATAGAACTAGATAAGCTTTTTTGCATCGAATAAAATATATCGAACAAAGCTTTAAGTATATAGTTGAACTTACTCGAAGTTGTATGGTAGAAATATAGTAGAGTGTTGTTGTAGATTTTTGAAAGCCAGAGCAATGTATGCCGCAACATTAAGGGACTCTTCCTTTAGTTTCACCGTACGGATGCGCTCTTTCTCCCGAAGAGTCTTTGCAGCAGCTGGCTCTTTGGCATCTAGTGTCCACTGTTTAGGGTAATTAAAATTTGTTTGGACTATAGCTTGAGGGTCTACATACCCGGTTTTCAGACTTGGCATTTGTTTGACAATGTGCACTTGCATTCTACAAATCACGGCGTGGGTTAGTTACAACAAAATTCAAAGATTACATTCATATCATATCGGGAGGACAAAGACTTACAAGCACCACGTGCGAATTAGATTCATCTCCATTTCTCCCAGGTGAAAGCATGTGTGCATGTCATTGAAGTCAAAGACAATTTTCCCGGCTGGGCTTCCAAATATGCCGGTGGGGAAGCATGCTTGTAAGAGATCTATGCTCGTTGGGAGAACACGCAAGTACCAATCATGGAACCTTCTCATTCCAAGTGGTAGGCGCTGGATGTCCCGGTTTGGTATGAAGGGCTTGCCTCTTTCATATGTTTTTGGGCAATCCTTTGACCATTTGATGTCATCAACATTTGTATACTGCTTTGCAATTTGGTGGAGTTTGCTAGTTACGGCCTCCTCAGAACCCCGTGATGG